GAAATTGTGTGCTGAGTTAAATTAGTACAGGGCAAAAGGTCGGTTTCTAAATTAAAGATATCAATATAATGGAGAATAATCTTTTCGATGGATTCACGGATTGGTGTTTCAATGTGATCTGTTCTCACTAGGCTTTTTAGTTTTGATACGTTGGACGCATCATGAGAATTTTGAATATTGTTAGAAACTTCAATGTTTTGCGCACCAGTGTTGATAAAACATACTTTAGTTGGTTTGCCTTCCAAATATATTGTTTGAACTTTGTTTTCTCCAGGAGTCAAATGTATTGGTTTCTGAAATAAAATGGTTTTATCGTTTAATCGGATTGTGTGTCATTGGATATTGAATAGTTATACTTCTCTAAACATGGTAGCCCAATGATTCCGTCTTCGATAATAGGGAAATTTTTCGGTACTATGTGAAAAATGTGATTTTGTTAAAAAATTCGTTTCGTTAGTTTCGTATTTGTCTCGTCCCATAGAAAATTTTTGTTTCGGTCCTCCTTGTATCGCGTTGACAGTTTTGTTACGTTTCACCAAGTTTATCCCTGCTCCTGTGTCTACCAGAAATACTCGCTCTGCGGTTTGGGTTGACAAAGGTATTGTGAGTAGTTTGCCTGTGTGGTGTTAATTCTTGGAATTTTTCTTGGTCTTCCGTCGTTTCGTCGTAAGTTTCTGTTCCTATGTTATGTGTCTCGAGATTGTGGTGGTCTCGGATGTTGGCTGGGTGTTTGAAAATTTCTACATTGACTGGAGACATGTCCGATTTGGTTGCATTTGAAACATTTCAGTTGAGTTCTTTGGGTAAGTGGCGTTCGTTCAGCTTGCTGCAAGTTTCTTGGCATTGGTTTAGGTGTTCCTTGGAATCGGGTGTTGGTTCTCGCAATTGGTCGATTCATTATTCTTCCTCTTGCTATGGTTTTGTTGCGTTCGATTTCCCCTATGACTAACTCCGCCTCGAAAGCTGCATCTTATGCTTCTTGAAGATTCTTTGGTCTTGTAGCCGATGTGCGTATTTCTATTTCGGGTTTTAAATCTAGGACAAAAACTTTGGTCGCTCGTTCATTTTCAAGATCTATGGCAACTGCTCGACGTACTGGATCGCTAATTTCGTGTTGAAGCGCGTATATCAGTTCGTTGAGGTTGTGTCGGAAACTCTTCACGTAACTGTGTACCGATTCGTTAACGTTTTGTTGCATACGTTGCAACTTATCACGAGCTCCATTAGATGTAATACTCACGGATACAAATTTTCTGAGGCTTTCAAACAGGTCCTTGTAATTCTCGATTTCAGTGTGGCGGATACCGCGTTCCGCTTCTCCGATGATTCTTTGCGTTAGAATTAGTCGTAATAACGTGCGTTTTTCTCGACATTCGGCTTGAGCTTCTCTTACCCGCTTAATAAACTCTTCTACTCCTATATCGTCTTGTCCATTGAGTATAGGGATAAAGTCTAGGCAGGTTTTTGCATTGTACATGGGATTGTCACAACTTACTGCTTCTTCACTGCCCATATCGTCCGTTTCGTTAGGTTTTACAGGTGGTCGCTTTCTCTGAACATTGCTGGTATTAGTTTCGTCCATAGTAATAAGGGAGCCTAATTCAGCAGTAGCGTCATGTCCTAAATTTATTTTAGAGATATGTTTTCTTAATAGTTGTATCTCTGCTGCACGTTTTTTGTTTTCACTATCGGCTATTCGTTGCGTTTCTTCTATACGTTGCGCAAGAAGTTCGATTTGCTCGAATATGGCACGAATCGACTTATCCATAGCTCCGGTTGTAGAAGTGATATCAATAGTTTCGATTTTGTCTTTTCGTGATGTGGACATGTTTCTAATCGAGCTTATTGAGTCTGAACTATCGTTGCTATTTGAACTCGAAACGCTTGAGAAACTTGGTTTTCTCACACGGTAACGTAAAAATGAATCCAGATTTCCAGCTTACCGTACTAGCTATGGCCGTTGAGGAGTTTCTGGGATGTTTCCTCTCTGGTTGGTTCTAGATTTCGAATCTTATTCGTAGGCTTGTTCTGCGCTGACCGTAGTCCTCTCGTCTAGTTTCACCGTAGTGAAACGTTGAAAGTTGCTGCAGGGCTTCGTAGTAGCAAAGATTCGCAGTGGTCCGCTGATCCTTCGATCTTCAATGATGCGCGTACGCCGAAATCGTGATTTCGTTTACACTGAAGCGAATGAATCCTGGCTCGGATCGCTAAAAATGTCACGTAAAATAAAAAGAAATTTAAGAAAAAAAAAGAAACTTTATTTTTTTCTGGTTTACAATACACTTCCGAGCTCTAGGCGTGACTGTTCATGACTGACTTGGATGATTTTAGGGGGAGTATTTAAGCTCTTTTTTAGCCGTTCCTTTCCTTCTTTTTTAAGCCGTACAAAGTCTTTGTTACGTGATTTTTCTTAGCTCTGTGTTCACGTTCTGTATGTATTATATTCACTTGTTTCTTTCTGTATTGATCTTCTCAAGAAGTGTAAAATACATAAATAAATAAAAATTCATTGTTATAACTTCAGTAATTTCGCCACAACTGTAAGTCTTAGTTCCGCTAAAATGTAGTATTAATTAATATTCTTCGTAATATTGTCAAAATATAATACTAACGTATAGTAAAGATCGGTCATGTCACGAACGTTGTAAGTGGCCGCGTATATGAAAAATGTTCAATCTTAATTTTCTCGAAAACGAAGCAGCAAATAGAAGATCGTTATATATTTTATATTTTCGTATTGAGGTGCTGTTTGGCATAAGATGCACAAGAAATACTCAACAATATAATTTATTTAACAATCAACAATCAACAATCCTCGATTACCACTGACCTTCTCGCTTCTCGATTATGTTTGCTTCGCTGTTAGAACTTGACCCTTTGCACTTCGCTGTTCAAAAACCTATGAATTTTTGAACAGATTGTATTTTTCGTAAGGAACTCGCCCATGGTCGCTTGCAAATTGTAGTTCATATTTTAACAGTTATACATTGTCTTGAATCTCATAAGTGCCATAACACTACAGTTAGTGGATGAAAATTTTGATTGGAAATTTTCAATGTCGCGCATTATACCAACGCATTTGATAAAAAAGTAAAGCCCACCTCGTACTCGCGGTTTCAAAGTGCACTGGGAGTGGTGTCTTTGATATTCCGGAAAATCTCCCAAAAGAAAAATTCCAAGTGATCGCAATTCCCTATCCGATTCTCGACTTACGAACTCTCGTTTCCGTTTTACCGTTTTCTGCGGTGATCGCAACACGGCTTTTCCGATGAAGCCCAGTCCTTTCGTATGAAACGCCCTTTAACTTCTACCGCTTCGAGCGTAAAACTCGAATATCGTTACTCACGATACATCCTAATACTAGCAGCTCACAGTTCTACTTCGGGGAAACTTTATGCACGTTCACAGACACGCCGACACATATGCGCATCGAGAGAAGAACTCAGCTAGCTGCAGCCCCGGCGCGATTGTATTCGTATTGGATGGCGTTCTACCAACTGCCAAGCTTTTACGACTTACGTGCTACGTTGCTCGCTTTACGTTTATGTTCTATACGTAACGTTATGTCCTCGTAACTTCGTCCAAGCGTGTCGATTGCACCGTCGAAACTTCCAGCTCCGAAGCATCGACGATACCCACAGGGAACGGGAGAACGGCTTACACAATAGACAAAAGCAAGGGACAATGACCGGAAAGAAATAAGAATTAAGGGACTGGTAAAGACATCGATGAAAATACACTGACGGCAATGTAGATTCGGATACTTGTAATATGAAAGCCACAAATGAAAAATATGACCTGCCACATGTTCCATTTCTGATGAAAGAGCAATTTTTATATTTCATATGCACCTGGGTCTCTTATTATGCGGCACATTTTTTATACGATACACTTTTACACGATTTTCTTTACGCAGTTTATTTACTTCTACACAGTTTTCTTGCCACGTGTTTATTACCTTTTACATGGTTTATTTAACACGTTTTGGTTACGGATACGCGACTTTTTTAACACGTTTATATTTGCACGATTTTCTTAATACGTTTTACTCATTTTTCTCTTCAAATCCAGGAGATCGACAGACGCTTTCACCAAGATACAAATCATATTTTGTTATCTCTGTGATATAGACAAACAGGTGTTTTAGAATTAGAATAGGAGTATATGTTTAATAAGCATCAGTTTGAACGTTTTGTACTTGAACAAGCAAAGCGAATTTGCTTTGAAGACAATTGAGATTATATTCTTTTAAATTTCTTAAATCTGTATAAGATACAAAACATAATAAGGAGTGACGATGAATAAAATTTCAACTTTTGAAAAAAAATATCTTTCTTATTTACCTGAACATGCTACCATTTCTCTCGTGTATTTATTGAATAAAATGTTGTTATCAAATGTATTTCTGTATGTTAAATTGCTTTTTTCACTGTTTGCACAAGTTTATAGTTTATAGTTTAGCACGGGTTTTACGTTTTGTTACAAATCAATCACGACCTTTTCTATACGACTTTTCTTATATGATATACGTCCAACCTGCAAAGAGAGTCCTTGGTTTTTGGAACATTAAAAAGATGTTAATAATAATTGCACTAAAAGTAATTAATAATAGTAATAATTGTAAAACTAAACTAATATAACAACTGAACTAATAATAATTAATATAGCTTTCTTACAAAACATTGCAAATGTATCATTTGTTCTCCAAAAATTTATATTTCATATTAAAATATACATACTACTTCCTATTAGCCATCAAGCGACATAAAAGGAATTCAATAAAAATGGACATTTCATATATTTCTCGTATGGTCTTAGTTTGTAATAGAATTTTGAGTTGAGAAACATTTTTTTTTTATTGACAAGTACTTTACAATCGATTCTCGCATTGAGAATTTTGAGTAAGTTTCTCTGACGTGGCGCAATGACATGACTAATTATTTATAATAAGTTTATTTCTAGCTGAATCCAGTGCTTAGTTCTAAAGGATAGTGTTTTCTTAGCCTGCGGATCTGATCCGACGTTTTAAGTAATTGAGTAACTAGGGGGTTTCGACGGTTACTAACTCTTATGATATATCTATTACTACATTTACTATCTATTACTACATTATTTCCTCTTTGACTGTGGTTATCTTAAGGTCGCGAAGTATTAGTTCGTTGGTGACATACCAGGGGGCATTTATAATGGATCTTAGCGTTTTCGATTGGAAGCGTTGAAGTATTTTAATGTTGGAATTACTTGCTGTTCCCCGTAGTTGGATTCCGTATGTCCAGACAGGTTTTATTATGGTCTTATAGAGCGTAATTTTGTTCTGCTTGCTTAAGTTGGAACGTCTGCCAATGAGTCAATCTGCAAAAAATAAATTTCTTCGAATTCAGCTCAATAGTATGAATAATATAAAAATTATATTACAGAAATTCTACGGAAATTTGTATGAAAGATAGAAGAAAGGAATTAGGTATAGAAAATATTCAGAAAATTCAAAAAGACTCAATGATAGAATACTTACCATTGTTCCATAATACAATAGAATATAAGCTTTTTATATAATTGACAATATCTAAGAGCAAGCTTTGAATGTTTTAAACATGTATATACAAAGATATAAAAACACATCAAGGATCAAATAAAAATACGACGAGGTAGAATTGGATGATAAAATTGAGTAATAAAAAGGGAATTGGCACTAGACAAAAAACAATAAAATGCACAATGATGATAAAGAAAGTAAAAACAGCCGAAGAAATTGTTTGAAATAGTTAGGAAATTTAAAGTATAAAGAAACATAAGAAACAAGAAACGTAAATAAAATATTTGTGAAGCTATATAATGTATAATATTAAAACAACGTTAAATTATATTTCCTGTATAGGGTGTACCAAATATACGGATGTAACTTCATGAATCTGAATTCAATGCATACCTCTGTATAAACTGGTTTATGATTTCACTCGAGTGTTACTTATATCTACAGTCTCCTTTTCTAACCCTCCATTATCCATATAACATTCTTCTGGTTCCTTTAACGCATTACAGTGGGAGAATATCTGGTCTCGCATACTCGGAAAGTGATCAAAGTTATTTCTATCGTTTAGATTCTAGATTGCGAATGTTTGTTCATTTATAGAAAATTTAAATATATGTACATCTATTATAATATTTAGAGCGTAAAGAACAAATCTCCATATAGATTCCATTTCTTTAGTTCTATTCATAAAGATCTGAATGTATATAAGCATTTACAGTTTATTTATGTTTGTTACGTCGTGTGAAATGATCCGTGCGACGTCCTTCAGTGTCTGACCGTCAAGGCCCAAGCCCCATTCGACAGACATTCAATAAACCTAAGGCCCCACCATAAACCGAATCTTATTAGTTTGCACGAACCTTTAATTCTGTAAGTATTTTCTAACTGGTATGTAGAACAGACCTTAGGTTCATTGCACGTTCTTATAAATTACGGAGAAAGCGGATGGGCGCCTAACAGAAAAGCCGGTTTTTTCCATGCACACAAATCGTTACCCTCACTGTCCTAACGAAAAGTGTGAACAACGAATCCATGTCCCTAGTTCAAAAGACACACCCACTCCGAGATTTCCTCCGTAATCACATAAGAACGAACTTCATTTATTATTGATCGTTAGAATAGTCAACATGTCACTACCGGGTTTCTATCCTTAAATCAATTACTTATTTAACCTATATATACGCCTCAGTGTAACTATCTTCTTTACAAAGTTGTTGGAAATATAAATTTTATAACCCTGTGAATCGCAGCGTTATACCACCTCAACCACCCCTATTATCTCAACGGAAATCAGGGGATCGATCTATTCGTGGCGTCGATTATTATAATCGTAACGGGAATTTACGACTCTCGTCGACGTGTTTCTCGCGATTGCGTCTCCCCACGAGTGGTCGAAAATACATGATTATTAGATGCCGTGTAATATTGGAAAAATTGCAATTGGTGTAATAGTAAAGAAAATAGTGAAGGATCAGTTTCTACAATTTTTTTATCTGATCATGTGATGAAAAATTAAAAAGAACATTTCGTAGATTTATGTTAGATATACATCCAGATAGAAATTTTATCGAAATCTATTAACGTTGCTATGAGCTATAAACGATTAAAAATGGTAAAAATCGCAGTTTTTCGCTTATAGCTTTTGGCTTATATCCGTAACAAATTTAAAGACGCTTACATCTTTCAGCACCTATCGCTTGTTTTCGTATCAACCGATTTCGATAAAATTCTCAGCATATAGTATACAATATGTTCGTTTCATCTAGAAACACGAAATTAATAGAGTCTCGAAAATTATAGATGACACGAAAAAATGTTTGAAACAGATGTTATACGATTTTGGGAGCGCCGTATCACTCTGATATTGATTTTACTTTGTACTGACCTTAAAAAGCCCTATGAAGGTCACGGTTATATTTTTACATGGGAACTATATTTCGTTATTCCATGTTTCTGCAACCGACATCATAACTGTTACGTCTGGTGATTCTTTACGTTCAAGGCGGCTACCAGCTGTGCACATGGAATTAAGCGGGCTGCAGTAATCCTAAGGAACTGCCATAAAACGAGGCTTTCGATTTATCGTTAAGGCTGTCAATTGGCATAAGGCATCTTCGAGTCAAAAGATTCCTTATGGTTATTGCTCCAACAGGTAAAAGCATGTAAGAGCATGAGTTTTCCTTTGCAACAGCATCGTCACCGGACTTCACTGGTTCATCGACCTTAAAATAGTCAACGTCTCTTTACCGGGTTTCCATCCTTTGGTCATTCACTACTTAACTTATACCTTACGCACCAGCGTAACATCTTTTCTCTACAAAGTTGTTGGAAATATATATCGTTGAACTGTTAATCAAGTGTTATTAATTAAACAATCTCTATTATCCTAACCGAAATGGGGGATCGATTTGTTCGTGGCGTCGATTGTCTACTCGTAACGGGAATTTACGACTCCCGTTGACGCGCTTCCTCGCGTTCGCGTCTCTCCGTGACTGGTCAAATAAACAATAACATTTTCAAAATACTAAATACTTTCTTGCATTTTTGCGCGGACCATTATCAAGACATTAATTCCTAAGAAGGATGGAAAGACGCATCCTTTTCAATGATAAACGTAAGATAAAAGAACATGCGACTACCCATTTTCGGAATAATATTTAGTACACACCTTTGTACACACACAAACAGTTCTTGTTAGAACCATTGTAATGTACAAAGTCTAACAAATACATTGGATAGTGCCAATGTCATCGGCATATCGAGTTTGACATTTAATATCGGAGAATATCGAAATTACTGTACTATACTATAATATTATGAATCAAATAAAAATCAATAAATTGGCGGAACATCATCGAATATTAGAAAAGTAACCACGTCCAGTTTCGTTTGACACGTGTTTACGTGCCGATATATTTACGTTATCGCTGCGTAGTATTTTTCGATTACGTTACTTTGTTGGGCTGATTTTTGTATTTAGTTCTTAGTACAAGTGTTATTCTTTCTTTTTAACTCTCTTCTTGTCGTCATGTTTATATTATGATCCTAATTTCTTTTTCCTTGTGAAGATGGATAGTACAAGTGAAAACTGAAAGTTAAAGCGTTTTCCTTTAAGCGAAGATTTATCTTCAAATAAGAATGCGCTTGTTGCGCAGACAAATTTATCTCCGATAAATAGCCAAGATTACTCCGATAACGGTAATCTTCCATCTATGTATCTTAAATTATGCAGTAATTACTGCTGCAATTGGTTCTCCAAAAAATTGTGATCCTGGCCAAACTAATCAGGCGAAACCCATATGTCAACGGCTTCCGAGCACCTCTAAACGAAATAATATAAAACCAAAAAGAAAAATTAATTCAAAAGGAATAGGAATGAAATATGGACAAGCTGAAGCCTCTAAAAGTTTTCAACGCAAGGATCTCATTGACTACATAGTCGTTACGGAATGGGTGAATGTCAATCTAAAAGAGAAAGACTCGACGCTCTGGATAGCCAAATGAAATCTATCAATAAATTTCAACATTCAAAAGATTCTATTACGAGAGATCAATCCAACCTACAAGAAACAGATGCTCACGATCAAAAATGGTCCTTATAGTATAGACGAAAATCAGAACCACGATAATTCATTCACCTCAAACCCGAAATTAAAAGAAAATTTTCATTTTTGCACTACGTTTAATTTCAACTGAAATATCGTTTGCACCACTACGTCGCAAGAAACAACGTTGAATCGAAACTAGTTAAATCCAGTTCCAAGAGGACAACAGACAACTATCATCCGTCTCCGATAAACCCGAAACGCCCCTCTACTAACGATACAAAACCTATTTTGAAGGCTTTCGTAAAGATTAAAGTGAATCCCTGACACACCGACAACGAGAGATCTAAATAACAAAATTCTGCCTATCAAAGTTTTCATAGACACCAACAATCTAATATTTAAAATATTCTCACTTCATGTTCAAGACCCCCTAATCACTGGACTACTTGATACGACGGACCAGATTCGCAGGCTGAAGAGGCACTACCCGCTAGACCTAAACGCCAGATTCAATTAGTTATCTAAATTAAGTAATACTTACTTATTTATAATCTTACTTATTTATAATTTAGTTATCTAAATTAAGTAATACTTACTTATTTATAATACTTACATATAAATTATACTTATCTATAATAAGTATTAACTTATTATAAATAATCAGCCATGTCACTGCGCCACGCCAGAAAAATTACTGAAAATTCTCAACGCGAGAATTGATTGTAATTTTAATAAATAAGTAAAAAAAAAATGTTCAAGACTTCCGCTTTAAAGTTTTTTCTTTTTCCATTATTATTATTTAATTTGTACTTTACAATTTGTCCAGCTGGACGTTCGGTAAATTAAATTTTTTTAACTTTACTGTTTTAAAGTGATCGCAAAAAATGTCTGCCGCGTCTACACTAAAGATTCGAATGATTTTTACATTATTAAAAAATTTTAACAGATAATAATATAAAATTTCATACATATACTCTCAAAGAAGGAAAGAAAACTGAGGTGGTATTAAACGTGTTAGTGTATTAAAGAGACGAGTGGTAAAATGTAATGGTCAATGTATTTTAAATCGTCGGTCGTAATCGTCTCTCACTCGATTCTATCGTGGAACTCGTTGTAATAATTCGCTATGCTGATCGCTATGAAAACTATCGTGATGATTCGCTAAAAAGATACTCGATGATACTCGAAGAGGATATTGATATTAGAGAGCACGTTCGTCTATTTATAACCACAGTTATTATTACAAAAAGTTCGAATGTAATCCCGGTTGGCAATTACAAATAACGGTGATGATGTTTTGATCTGGAGTTCGTTATTTCTTGAATCTATCAGATCGAAACAGCGTTAACAATAAGGTTCTAAGGCACAACAATATGAGTCATTCCCGATTCGAATCGTCCAATGACTCACGTGTCGCTACAACTGTAATTCTTCTAAAAAATCTTATCGATGGTTTTGAGTGTGAAAAAGTTTTACCCGAACTCAAGAAGATTTCTATAAACAAAATTCAATTTATTTCCGTTCATACACATTGAGCTATATACATTTTTTAATACATTAACACTTTGACTACCACGCCGAATCAGATGTTTCGCTCAGGATGCCAGGGGAGTATTTTTATTATTCAAAGCAAATAATAAATTGATGTTGTAAGACAACATCCTTCCCCAATGGATCGTCTATCTTATTGGTGGTTACAGGTGACCACCGTGGCGCCTTGATAAGCCTTGAAGGCTTCGTTTATTTCAACAAACCATTCGCATTTGTTATTTCGTCGTAAGCAAAACGTTCAGAATATGTTGTTGAAACCTGTGGAAGATATTAGTAAACAGTATTTGCTTATTCTATATACAGGGTGGTTGGTAACTGGTGGTACAAGCGGAAAAGGGATGATTCTACGCGAAAAAAGAAGTCGAAAATATAGAATAAAAATTAAAAAAAAAATTTTTTTTTTAATTTTTCCATCGAGACAACGATCTACAGTGAGATCCGTTATAACGAGACGCGATAAAGTGCACGCGTACCGAGCGAAAATTCAAAGTCGATTTTCTCGAAAACAAAGCCTCAAACGAAAAATTTTTATTCTATATTTTCGATTTCTTTTTTCGTATAGAATCACCCCCTTTCCGCTTGTACCACCAGTTACCAACCACCCTGTATATTGTAGCATTACTTTAACAGTAATAGAAACCTTAACTTAGTCACAATTTTGTTTCTTAAAACTACTAATAAACATAATGAATTTTTAAGAAATCGATGACCATATCCACAGGATGTCAGAAAATACGTGGATATTTGCAGAGTCGGTGAGGCAAGTTCATGTATAAAAATGATTCAGGCATATCTTTCGAGTTATGAACGATTACATTTTACGCTAAAAACTTACTAGCATCAGCTGACGATCTTCTTTTCATGTTTCTTACTTTAAGACTCGCCAACTGACAAACAAATGACACCAAGGCACAGGAGATTTCGATTGTTATATTGCGGCTCGTCCTTCTGGATTCCTGATAAGTTCACCGCCTATTCCTATCCTCTTCTCAAAGACGTTCTCTAGGGAACCTACTCTATCTCTTTGAAACGTGTACCTGAATTACGAAAGTGTGCGAATCTTTGACTGTTCTGGCAAATACCTGGGGAAATCGACAACGATAAGATGACGAAGTAGTGATGGCTACGTGTGAAAGATCAGAATATACACAAATTTTATTCAAACTATACCCGGTATTTGAGGATAAGTTTTAACGAAAATTGATACGCCCGCGTATTTCATTCACAATAGCAGTGTTTGTAAAAGCAAAAACTTTTATTTCAATACGAAAGATCAAGTGATCAAAATACTATTCCGCGAACAAGATGATTGTCAGATGTCGATACATCCTCACAGTATATTTTCAGCTAGCCTAAGAACCCGCTATAAATCTTAGTATTTATTTAGCTAAGCTTCTTCTAACGAACAAATAGTCTTTGCCTTAACAGTCCCTAAATCTATCGCCTACTATGGGAAGATACGGAAAATCTGTTTTTCTCACGTACGATGTTTCCCGCTAGCAACTTTCTCTCAAGGGCATCCTTATTCAACCACCAACATGGAAATTGACCAATTAACAGCAACGTCAATTTCCCTCACTTTAAGGACGAAGGTTTTTCTCGACGAATCCGATGATCTCGTGTCCTTAGACACACCCCATCATAGTTTTCCTCTGCAGCATCATCGTGACGGAAAGTCAGTCGTTAGACGTCAGTCCGAGTCGATAATTGGTAGTTAGCAGTAATAATTTATTCGAATTTCTTGACATCTTAAGCAATCATCATTCGAATTTGTAATCGCGAACCGATAATAGTAATCGCGAGTTCTACGCAAAGTGTACATATAGAGTATATATTAATAAATATATATTGTTAAATACATTCAAGTGTTTCTTCCGCACCTATCACGACTTATCCATCTCAACTTCTTTGTCATAAAACCTTAAATAGGATTTGAAAAATACGGTAAACGAATACAATTAATAGATAAAGAACATATTTAGTTTCTGACGGGGCATTAAAGCTATAAAAAAAAAAAACGTTTTAACAAAAGTTGTTTGACTTAAAGGGAACATCATATAGCGTAAGTGACTTTTCTGCAGATCCAGCAGTGGGAGAGATTTAAAAGCCAACTTCACTTTCTTAAATCGAACCATATATTTCCGCATGCATCTTGGCATTTTCTATAAAAAAAGTATTAATCTATTCAAGTCAGGAAACTATTATTAGTTTATATAGATATTTTAACTTTAATTTGTGAAATTTAATGTATTAACGTATTAAAATTATTAATGTATTAAAGAATATATGGTTGTATGCAAAAAGATGAAATTGACCTTAAAATCTCCCTCCCTGTTAGTAGCAAAAAAATAATTTGCACCATATGATGTCCTAAAGATAAAGAGATATTTTTGATAACCTTAATCGTCGTAATATACAAAGTGTTTACACTTTGTATATTCATCATCTTATTTTTTAAAATTCAAGTAATTATTGTAAAAGTTGTCTCGACAACTGTAAGCTAATTACTCTAAAATTATTCCTTAAAATGCCAGATAATTATCTAGTAAATAGATACATACACTATTATTAATTCACATTATTTTTAACCACTAGAAACAAAAATTTACACATCTAAAGTATTTGAAAGAAGAACGTTTAGCTGCACACCCATTGCTTCTTCAGAAAATACTAAACGCAGTAAAACGTATAAAACAACGATTGGGGAAAGCATGTAGATTCCGTGGAAATTAATTATTAATATAACGACTTCATTGTTTTCCGAAAGATCCAAAGATATATTATGTAGCAAACCTGTTATTACTATCGATATTTACAACAGCTATTAAAACTGTCAGACGTTATTCAATAAATTAATATTATAACGATAAAAGATTTGATAAACTGATATTTGGTAGCGTAACAATTAATGATCGCTAAACATATGATGAATTTTACTTTATAATTTCTTATATATCCTTTCGATTCTGCCAACTAATCGATTTATTTTTGACGAAAGGACACGATTACGCAACACAAATCAACAAAGAGAGTTATTTAGTGGAAACCTCCGTCAATGTTGTTATCCTGTGAAATGGGCGCGCAATTCCGCGTCACCTTGCTCGACGAGAATATCCCACCTCCACAGAGGATCCCGAGGGAATCAGAAGGACTCCGATCGTTAAAGAGACACTGTGAATCCTCTCCTGACCGCCTGATACGGTAGTCCCGGATTTTCGGGCAAATCGGAAGTTTTTCTATCTTCTAGTTAAGCCGAACAGGCGTATTTTCCGATATCTTCGAATAGCAGCGTCGACAGCCGATCCGGATTTAAGATTCTGTAAGATGCAAGAATTTCCTAGAGAAGAATGATATCTTATCGATGAAAAACCGTTTCGTATTCAGAAACGATTTAAAGGAGTCGTCGAATGATTGAGCGAGCGAGTCCGTCGATTTCCAACGTCGATTTCTCTTTACCTTTCTACCGAATTGTCCTTCGATATTCTTGTCTTTCACGGTATCAATTATGCTAGCCCGTTGGGTCAAAAGCATTTTCATCGGTCTCCGCATACGTCGTTATAAACAGGAAGACATGTAACGAGTGGAGCACCCTTAGCCCACATCGATACTGCACTAACACAGAAACATTCATCGACGCCGCGCCACCGCAACAAACTTTCACTGCGCACTGGTACTGGCATGCTTTTCCAAATAACGACACGAACTCGCCTTGGACAAAACTTCCCGCATTAATACGTTTGTTGCTGATTGCATTCTCATTACGTACGTTCTTTGTTTCAGATTTACTTCTATATCTTAACATTTTATAACTATATTTAACATAAATCATATTTATTTCTACAAAATTTCCAGACTTTTAATGAAATCCGAAATATTTAATCGAAATCACACACATATAAAACTAAATATCGGTTCAAAAAGTTTGCAATAAATGGGTTAAACAGGAAAGAACTTATTACATGATCCTTGCAATTGTTATGGCTCTGCAAGACGATTGTAATTTGTTTGTAATTCATAAGTTACAGAGAAGTTGAGCTCTACAAACAATAAGATAAAAAGTAAATTTATAGCATGTACGTACATTGCAAATATTTATTTCCGTAAATGTAAAGTGATATTGAAAAAGACATTCAGATGATGGTGTTCAAAAAAGATATTAATTTAAGAGTAAAGAGTATTAATATCCATAAATCGTTTTCAAATAACTGGACGTAATTAGAAACATTTAAACTTGCTATGATTTTCGCATTTTTATATATTAATCTTGTTCTCGTTTTAGCAAATAAAATAGATTTCTGATATTTTAAGATGTTTAATGCAAAATTGAAACGAAAAATCCTACAGTCATATTTTGTTCAAACTCCAGATACCTTTTAGTGTTGACAAAAAAAAAAAAAAAAAAATAGAAATTGGATCGAAAATAATTAAAACAATATAGCAGAATTAAAACTGTAACACAGACATTATACAATCACAATTCATATGTGGCAAATTCCTTTTAGTTCCTCGGCTTTCGCGTAAAATGACAAGACGTAGAAAGAGAACAGGAATTTAAACTAATTGTGAATCGACAAAATAATTACAATACCAAATGCAAGTACCATTGACATATTGTTGAATATAAAAGTGTTGAATATAAAAGAAAAATCACATCACAGACAAAACGAAGCAACTCAAGGACAAACTCAAAAAATTCTATTGGCTCACTGGCCGACGCTACAAACTTAAGCATACAGAATAAAATTACCCTCTATAAGATCGTAATAAAACCTGTCTAGACCTACGGAATCCAACTATGGGGAATAGCAAGTAATTCTAACATTGAAATACTTCAACGCTTTTAATCGAAAACGCTAAGATCCATTATAAATGCACCCTGGTATGTCACCAACGAACTAATACATCGCGACCACAAGATACCAACAGTCAAAGAGGAAATAGCAAAATATAGCGACAGATATAGCAAAAAAGTCAACAAACATCGAAACCCCCTAATAACTGGATTACTTGATACATCGGACCAGATCCGTAGGCTGAAGAGACACTACCCGCTAGACCTAAACGCTAGATTTAATTAGTTATTTAAATTAAGTAATATTTACTTATTTACAACATTTATTTAAAAATTATACTTATCTATAATAAGTATTAACTTATTATAAATATTTAGCCATGTCACTGCATCACGCCAGAAAAAATTACTGAAAATTCTCAATGCGAGAATCGATTGTAAATATCAATAAGTGTCATTGCATCACGCCAGAAAAAATTACTGAAAATTCTCAATGCGAGAATCGATTGTAATTTTAATAAATAAATAAAAAATACAATAAATAAAAAAAAAAGACGAAAATGAAAACACTGTGTTGGATTTTAGGATACAAATCTCCTCCTCTCTCGTTACAAAACAAATGGCTCCTATATAAAGTTACGATTATCCCAATATGAATGTATGGTATCTAATTGGATTGTGTTAAGAAAAAATAATCTGGATCTTATACAGAGATTTTAAAAACAAAGCCTTAAAGTACAATAATAGCCACCTTATGGTATGTCAGCGGACAAATTCTCCCAAAAGATCTAGGAATAAAATACGTAAAAGAACAGATTTAAAAATTTCTAACAACACACAATAACAAACATACATCCTAACGAACTGGCTAAAAACTTAACACAAACTTCAAGAGCCAAAAGACTGAAAAACGAAGTCATACGAGTTACTGCAATGAAAGATGAGAGTGGAAACACCATTGAGTGTTATCCACACGCACACGATATCCACACTATCAATTCGCAGAGTCACTTGTAAATGCAACATAAATATTAAAACAAAAAATTGTATTTGTAAAATTTATTTCAAAGCTTCTTTATTTTTTCGCATACATTTATTACGTATTTATTTTCAATTATTTGATTTCAAGAAATTTGAAATATTTCATAAATCGGAGATACTGATAAAAATGTACAATATATAAAATGATACAATAAATTTAGAAATATTTAAAAAACTTAAAATTTAGTTTGACAGAATGTGTAATTTCCTTGTTTCACCGTAAAAATTTTTCCTATGGATATAATATAAACGAAAATAAACATGTCCCATAAAATGAAATGCAACGATTAATTTCTAGAAATATCTATGCGATCGAAGCGTGGAGAAAGAGTCGATACTTTTACAAAGATTAGGGGAGTATGAACACAGGGAACGAGGGTACGTTTTCCCACGAGAAAGTTACTCGACGAAATAATGTAAATGGAGAAGGATAAAAAGTGTGAGGGGATCTCCAAGAAAAATGTTTGGCCGGTCTGAAGTAATGAAAAGTGTTTGCCAATGTTCCAAATGCAGTTTACTCTTCCGATTTGAAAGTTTCTCCAAACAGATTGCTGCCATTTATGTTATATCAAATGGTAATTAAATACTGCTTAATAATAAACATGGAACAGTCACTTGACATTATCTAATTTTATTTCATTCGTACGTAAATTCGCATTCTAATTCCATTGTTGACATAGTGTAAGTAAAGTAGTCTAACATAGTAGCGTATATAGTATACGTTAAGGTGGTTCGTACTTCTTGACTTTTAATCTTTTTTTTTCTCGTAGCTTCTAAAATTATGACACTTGGTGAGAAAGTGATATCCGTATAATTTCAGAACGGTGGACAAAGAGAAACCGTGCCGTAATTGGATTAAAATTACATTAATTTTGGACAAAACACAATATTATTCGATAAATGTGGTATATCTGCGATTTTTCTAAAAAAAAAGATCCGTCGGTCTGGGTAAATGAAACATCATAGATAGCAGAATTACAAATAATAACTAATTTGCAAGTAATAAATGATACTGCAGAACGAAGTATAAAGTTAACGACCGACTACAATCATTTATTAATAACTAATTGAAGTGGAAGCAACATTTTATTAGAAGAGTATGAGCAAGGCTATCCTAGTGCAACCAAATCTGATTTCATAGAAAAATATTGCTCACTCATATATTAAGAATTATTCCCATTTTTTCGGATCTTTCTATCCTACTTTATTTATAAATCAAATCTTTACATTCTATTTATTACTATGTAAATAGCTATGCATTTCAATGATAAACGATATTTTTCTAGAATATTAATAATAATATATAAATATAATATAACAGTCCCTGATTCTCATAATCACATACTGTGACTCAAAGACCTCATTATTTACTTTTGACGATTTTGCACGAATAAGCCCGAAATTAACGTGAGTTTCCTTTGCCCAATCACTCCGAAATTGTGCACGTATCATGTTCTCATGTACCATAATTTTAAAAGGAGCGATAAAAAAAGATGATGGCAAAAGCTTAATTCCTATAGCTATGGACACAAGTACCTATATATATATATGTCGGGTTTACATTAGAATTAGGGTTAGGGTCGTGAAACGAATCTTCGTTTGGATTACACATTGTCGTTATGCAATAGGGAAGACATTGACTAGTGCAAGGAAGACATTGACTAGTGCAAATACGATTA